TAATTTTCTAAATATGCATAATTAAAACTTCATTTGACAGATTTATGATGAGAAAAATAAAAGCATGAATAAAGAGATGAAATAAATTTATTTTGACCTCTTAATTTAATAATAATTCTCTTATTAAATTTTATTTAGTAGCAATGAAAATATATTTAAAAATGCACAACATTCCTAATTTTTATTCACTTTATTATTCTTAAAATCAATTATCGGAAATTTTAAAACGTTCAGATGTGCATTGGTCTCAGTTAATCCCGGAGTTCTTTAATTGTAAAAGTAACGCTGTTAATCTATGACCAAAGATTAGAAGGATCATGTCTAAAAGCGGTCATATCAAGATGCTTCATTGACGTCGACAAATTACCAAGATACGACTGAAATATTGTTGCATGGGTACGGGTTCGTAATAGATTAACCGCACAAGTACGATAAAAAGTTAATAAAATTCGTTCTTATCACAAGAGAAATGTAACAAAATGCTGGATTTTTCCTCACAGATATTCGTACAATATCACAATATCACACAGTAATTATATTTCAAACTACTAAAACGTTAAATAGAACACAATTAAAAGCACAGAGAAAGCTAATCCGATCTCATAATTACAGCAGCTAAGGGAAATAACAGCAACTCAGTAAAAAACTGAAGCGAAATATTTTTATCCGGCTTTTATAGCTTTCTAATCTGTCACGAGACGCTTCTGGTAATTTCCAATTTTTCGACGTTTCTAGAAGGCAAACGAGTACAATTACGAGATATGTATATATTAAATTCGCGTGCTGCTGTATTTTTAATTTTCTGTCTAGCTTTCTCTTAAAACGCGCTGCATTGCACAGGGAAATAAAACAATTTTAATTACAATTGTACTAAATATAGCTAACTAAATACAAAATCCGTAACAATATTTTATATCTCCACTGCGTTGTAAATAAGTGAGAAACGTTACCACGACCACATCGCAACTTTCTTGGATCAGTTTACAGCCCTTTACTACGTCATGTGCTTCTTAGGCTTTAGAATGTGCTGATCTAACTACGCCTTTTGCTTAATGCTGTATTAGAACAAGCCTTTGTGAGAAGCTACATTATAATAGTAATCAACAACATAATACAAAAAAATACTGAATTAATTCTAGTGAAGTTGTTTCTAGTGAAGTTTCCAGTAGGCCCTAATAGCATTTTTATTCATGAAACAAATTAATAAACTTTAAAATATGTTGATAGGTGTCTTGTGAAAGTAGCTGCAGTTATCATATATGTTAAACAGCTGTTCTACGTGGTATTTATGCATCTATAACAGCATTAAATTTGCTCTCCTGTAAGCCTGAAATTTCGTAGTTAAAAACATGAGAATTATCTTCCAGTGTAATATAACTGGAATTACAATTTCCAGTTATATTACACTGATTTTGAATACTATCGTATTCACTTCCCCATTGTAAGAGAGAAATATATTTCTCTCCTTACAGAACTGTTATCTACTTTTCTATGGGACATCCCTAAATCTAATTTTCATAGCGCATTTTCAATGCTCGTCTTCAGACATATCTTTAGTAAGAAGATGCTTTGGGAAAAATTTGGAATTTTGGCTTTTATTTTATTTTCAGCTCCTGAATATATTACTTTCGGTAGTCTTATGGTACACACATTTCGTATCTGAATTCTTTTCAGTAATGTTCAATAAAATTAAATAGTTTTAAATCTTTGTATAAGACAATTCTCTGCTTTCTATTACTTACTTTCATAAATTTTTCTTACTTCTTTCTGTTCCCCAGATTTTAAAAAATATTTCACTGAGGTATCACTCCCTTTCCTTCTGCCACTATAAACTGTGTTATCATTATATTTCCGCTAACTTCGATTAGATTTCCGCTAACTCGATTACATTTCCGCTTGGAGTATTTAGAAGTTCGTGAGAAAAATTACACAAATTATATTACAGTTTTCTAATTTTTGATGACAATTATCGATGTAATGAGACAAATAGTTTCCCAAAATTATTTTGTCTTCAACCTTCTAATTTAGGAGCTGATGTGATGTTTATCTATCTCTATTGATCCCCGTGAAAATCATAGTTAATCGTAATAAACCTCCTTGTACGAAGTATTATAATCACGAAAAATTCCAGGTTTCATATTTAAAAAAACTATCCATTTTGACCGCTATCGAATGCAATTTAATGAGTTTTTTGCGTGATATCTGTAAGTAAGGAGAGAATAAAAGACTCTTTTGCCGAAACAAATCATAAAACTGATTTAAAATGAACTTAGATGAGATTTTTTTTCGTGGCATCTGTACGTACGTACGTACGTATGTATGTATCTCGCATGACTTAAAAACAAGTCGCCTCGGAATTTTGAAATTTTGTATATGGGTCTGCTATAACATGTAGATGTGCGCCTCGTAATTTGGTTGCAATCGGACGCACCAAATCTATTTAAATATATGTATATATATATATCAACTCTGTTACTCGGCTCAGTGATCTCAATTTCTTTATTCTTAATGTTTGCAAAGTGCGCAATTTTTGTATTAAGACTGATTGAATTATGTTGTTTTTATCTTCCGTTTAAGGTTGTTATGCCTTTAGGAAATCTGCAATGAATATTTGTACAATTTTCAACAATTTAAAAGCTGTTTAAGGGAGGTTAAGAATAATTTTTAAATAACATGGCGGACATATTTGTTTACATTTGAAACAGCAGAATAGTAGATTTGTTGCCAATATAGAGAGACTAAGCTTCGCAACAACAAAGATAACGCCTTTATTTATTATTGCAAATTAAATCATGCTTAATCCTTTCCGGAATTTTTTCGAGGAAATAAGAATTTAAGATTTATTTCGTAATTTTTAGCACAGATATTGTGAGGTTTTATGTATTTTTGCCTTGTCACTAAGTGAGCACTAAATTAATTGAATGAGAAATACTAAATAGTCTGTGAAAAACTATTTCTTTTTTGTTTGCTTAATTTCTTTAATACAGCGTTCTATATTTATTATAGTATTTGAATAGAACATGTGGCAACGATTCGATAACTCTTCAAATGATATAAATTTTGTGCATTCTGAGTTATAATATGAACTAAATATAACGCTGTTAAATGAACCTAGCACCAGAATATTGCTATGGTAAACAAATAATGTGCATTTCAAAGAGTGCATTTATTCTATTGCATCTTATGCGCTATTGACGAAGTAGATTTAATTCAATAGAAAAACATTCGAAATCTAAATATAGTCTCATGGAGAACGTAACTTAGTATTCCTAATTTTTACAAAAGTGGCCATTGTTTTTCCTTTAATTACGAATATAAACACATGAATGTGTAGGTCATGCAAAGTATTTTTTTAATTATAACTATATGTTTACCACAAGTGTTTGCGAAAATATACACTGCACAAAGATTTTGTGAGCAGGGTGTATTAAAAAATATATTATTAAAATCAAAAGCTGTTCTTAAAATAAAACATTACGGTACTCTAACAAATGCTTAATACACTGCTGGCCATTAAAATTGCAGCACCAGTAAAAATGATATGACAAACGTCAGAATCACATGAAAGGAAAAAGTTGGGCTATGCAAATAATTAGTATTTCAGCGCATTTAGACGACGCAGGAGGGAGAAATGACATCTGAAGCACTGCATAACAGAAAAGTTGTTCAGTAGATTTCTCATTCGGAATGTACTTTGTAAGGTTGGCGTTTGACCAAAATATCGTTTTAAGCCTCGAATAAGAAGAGAGAATACTTACCAGCAAGTTTCGAAATTCGATAGAGGCAGGATCATTGCCTATAGAAAGCATAGATGATCGTTCCTTGATATCGCCGGTCGTTCAGGTCGACATCCAACCACAGTCATGCGAATATGGAATCAATGCAGTGCTGAGGGTCATACTTAATTGCATGGAGGATCTCAACGCCCTCCCATGACTAACGCCAGAGAGAACAGACATATTATGAGGTCAACCCTGCGAAACCAAACAACCACATCATGGACAATTAGTCAGGAAATGGTCAAGCTTGTAGCATGCCTAGTATCAGCACGTAAGGTGCGTCGACGTTTGCATTAGCATTCACTATCAGCAGCTTGACCATTACTTCAGCTTCCCTTAAAAATGCAGCATAGACAAAGACGGGGACATTGGTGCTCCAAAACCACAAAGGCGTGTACAGGAGCGGAACAGTGTCGCCTTTTCAAACGAGTCCTGGTTCTACGTATAGTGTTCTGATGTCCCTATACGAGTTTGGAGAGTCCGAGGAGACCGCACATCGCGTGCTTGCATTCGATATTGGCATAGGAGCTTTGCACCTCGTGTGATGATTTGGACAGCCACATTGGGTATGTAGGTAGGAAGGTAGGTGACGGAAGACGGGGACGCCTGGTGGCTACCAGAGATAAACAGGCATGTGTCCCTCGCCTTCCACTATCTAATGGCAACAACTCCCTGTGGCCTCAAGAGTCCACACCGGGAGCTTATTAAGGGTGCAGGAGTTTACATGGCCAAACAGGGGCGACTTATTAACATTGCTTGACTAATTACATAATTACAGGTATGAGACTCAGAGCTAGGTACTAAATGTATGAAAACACAAAAACATGAAAATGTACAGAAAACACACACGCAGAGGGGAAAAAAGGGGGGGAGAGGGATACACTTGATTAACACTGAAGTCTTATGGCAAATAAAGCACACTTGAAAAATAATAATACACATATACCACATGTCAGATACATATTTGGCCTCACGATCACATATACTGTACATTGTGGGGTGTGTTTACAGACGAGGGGCCATAAGATGGGAATAACATGTGATTGCTGGACATTGATATGGGGGACACGTAGAGATCCGGCGAATATATATTTGTGGAGCGCATAGGTGCTGAGTATATGAGCATGCCGAGCGCGGTGACATGTTAGCAGCACAGGGTGATATTCATGTTGACTTCTGTTAGTGGCGGACGTTGTGGGATTATGCAGCGTCGCATATATCTTAACCCATAGCGGCGAACTGGTCAATGACCTTACAGATTTTATTGATTGCAGGTTTGTTTTTAATAATGAACCGTTGAAAGGCGTCTGTAGGAGGAGTGGGATGCTTAATGTGGTTGTCTGCTGTGAGTGGGCAAGAGTAGATATAGTGGTCTGGTGATCCAAGTTGGCCGCACACGCAAGCATCTGTAGTGGAGATGTGCCTATAATAATACGCTGGATAGGGGCCATGTCCCGTTATGAACCGGGTGAGTTGGGGTATAGCTATGAGGCGTGATAGAGAGACTTTGGGTAGGAGATTGTAGGTCCGTCGTCCGGTGTCACACGCGTTCCATTCCTCTTGCCATATTTTGAGTAGGTCTTCTTTGAGAAACCTCTTTAGATGCGATGGTGTTGCACGGATACGGATTTGCTGAACTTCAGAACTGATGGCGGCTTCTTTGGCTAGGGTGTCTACTGCCTCGTTTCCAACTAGACCAGCATGCGCCTTGACCCAGGTGAGGTGAATGCGTTGCTGGTGGTTTACACAGAGTAGCTTTTGAATTTCGGAGATAATTGGGGAGGTGTGGCTTAAGTTTTGAATCGCCAGGAGTGAAGATTGGCTGTCTGTACAGATGCATGCTTGGTGGTAGCCGTTACTTAGTATGTCGTTGGTGGCGTTGAGGATGACCAAGGCTTCTGCCTGGAACACACTATGCCACATTGGGTACACGGCAGGCACATCTCTAGTTCGGGATCTACGGTAATTTGAACGCAGATCGGTACATTTCTGAAATATTAAGTCCAGTGTTTGTGCCCTATCTTCGAAGCCTCCAAACGCCATGTTCCTGCAAGATCACAAGTTGCACGTCGTGTTCTGAACCTTCCTTATACACAGGTATTCGATTGCTGCACTAGCCTGCACAGTCTCTAGATCTAACACCCATTGAAAGCAGCTGGTCATAGGTTGCTGAGAGACTGGCCCGCCTTCCCTGTCCAGCTAATACGGTTGATAAAGTGTGGCATAGACTTGAAGTAGTAGGGAATTATTTGCCCATTTCTGTCACCCAAGCGCAGTTTGACTCTATGCCTAATGGGGTAAGGGCCATTTTAGCTGCCGGAAGAGGCAGCTGTTTCTACTAATTTCGAACCCCCTGTAAACCTCCAAAATGCATACAATTTAATCATTTTGTCTTCATGCCATACTGTTTACGTGCAATATTTTTTTTTTATTATTTTTTTTATTTGCTTTACTTCATGGTGTTACAATTTTAATGACCAGCAGTGCAGTTTAAAGGTGTGATATTTCACACAATTTCAAGGAATTAAATATACATTATGTTAACAAATGTCGTAATGTACAGAAACTGAATTTTCATAAACGTTAAATTGAATGCAGAACATTGAATACACGTTTCAAATAACACGGCATTCTCATTCGGAATAAACTATACGCTAAAAATCAATACCTAGAATAAAATCAAAACTTCTTAATAAATAATTGCACATTAAAGATATCTTAGCTATTAAATATTTACAAAATATTAATTTATACGTGTTACTATCATGAATAATATTAACCGTAAATGAATACTGAAACTCGTTAAATTCTTTTAAATTCAGTAAATGGCTATTTTTATTTCCCTGATAAATTCCTGTGATCTGATTTTGGAAATATAGGAACAATAATGTTATCATATTATGTTTCCTCAACATCAAAGCTTGTTTTATTGTGTATATAATCCGTATTATTCTGACGCACGTTTAATCTGTATTTTTATCAGTAGCAAATAAAAGAAAAACTAAACTTAGTTCCCAGTATGATAAATGAAAATTATAAAACGACATCAACAAATTTGAGCTAGTTTCAAACTGAAATAAATCATATACAGGGTGTCCAAAAACACTGACTTCGGCTTTTATTCTTGAAATATTATTGTAGACATATAATATAAATTACAAAATTACGATAAAAAGGTACAGAATTTTATGAAATACATTTAAAATTTTCAAGGAAATTAAATTTAAAGAAATACAAAAATTTCATTTTAATATGGCCATAGTACAGAAAAATTTTCAGTGACCAAAATGTGACAAATACAGTAAAAATGTCATATACAAAATTTCAGCATTTCATCACAAAAAGCCGCAGACTTAAATCACTTTTCTATGCCTGGATATGAGTTTGAAAAGCATAGTTTCATAGATTTGTAAATACAATTAGAGCTAAGAGCCATATTTTATATGCTTATGATGCATATCTGCATCTCGTCATCAGCAATCCAGTTGTAAGCATTCATATTTTAATTCATGATCAACCCCTTACCAACTTTTTTTAAACATATCTCTTAGAAATTTTATGAAAAAATGTCAAAATTTTGTAGATGACCTTATTTGGGGCACATTTTGCTAATTGAGAATTTTTCTATAATGGGGCATATAAAAATATAAATTTTGTATTTATTTAATTCTCTGAAAGTTTTAATCTATTTCATAAAATTTTGTACTCTTTTTTATGTAACTTTTTAATTTATATTACATATCTACGATCATATTTAAGGAATAAAAGCTGAGGTCAATGTTTTGGGACACCCTGTATACTGATATGAAAAGAAGATTTGTTTAATATTAAACAAAGTAACAGGCATGCAGAGCAAACTCGAAACTTTCTAATAAGGTGCAGTTGACCAGTGTGTGAAATAAAATTTAAAATGTGATAATTTGCTTATATTATAGATGTATGTTTTCTGTTTGAGCTATTGAATCTTAACTATAAACTTTATATTGGCGTTGCGGGAATATGAGATAAGTGATAAATAAATAATAATTTATGTTTTTGGATGAATAAATAATTTTATTAGCAAACAAAGGCATAAAGGCATCAAACAAACGGGAGACGAATTCTAGAATTTGGGTTATTTACGCTACTGTAACACTGAAGAACATAGAATATTCTCCACAAATCAATGGAATGTTATGTATTTGAACGGCAAATACACTGCTTAACAAATAAATAATAAACAACATACCATAAAAATGGCTTCTCTAAGATTTTCCTTTTGTAGTCGACTCTATGGTTGACGTCATAAATAAGCAAGTTAAATAGATATTGATTTATGGACAGAACTTTCAATAAAATTTGTGGTTGTATTAAATGTGCATAACTACATAGAGATAAACTGGCAATTTCATAGGAACCTCAATAGAGCAAAAATATAAAAACAGTGTTTTGAGCAGCAACGAATATACTGAAAATAAATTCGTTGTTGTAAAATTTTCATTTTGGAGCCTCCGACCCATATCGATTGCGTCGTTTCACATGCGAAACTTCCCATAAAACTTCTGACTCGGCTGCTAAAAACTATCACTGCCGTAGACGGTATAACAGCGTGTTACATTCAACACTCCACTTAGAAAACAGTTTTCAGTCTAGGGCGCTTATCAGTTGCCTGCCTTGGGACACTGTTAGCAATGGCACGATGAAAAGAAACGAAAAACGGCAAGGAACGAAATTGCCTGCTCGTATTTTTAGGAACAGTTTTGGAAAGCGCTCAGGCAGCAAAATGGTAGTGGTGGGCCTTTTACTGCCTACGGTTGGCAGGTGATTAGGATAGAGCGAGCTGTTAGTACCGGAAAACAGCCCCGGCGACGTTTTCTGCTTCCGAAAAGTTGTTAAGAAAAGAAGAAAACGCATCGCACTCTGCCTTTCATTGCGAGCTGTAAAGCCGTTTTATTTTGATTTTATCTAAGAATTGGTAAAACTTTCCCATTCCGAAAGGAGAATTCCTATTACGCACCTCTTATGTAAGTATGAATTAGATATAAGGATATTATGCAGTTAGTTGATTAATAGAGTATTGTCCTTATGTAAGTATTATGTTTTCTTATAAAAGCGCATTCGTTTCATTTAATTTATGTTTAACTATTAAGCAAAGGAAACTGATTTACTATGCAGATTACAAAGGTTTTCAAATGTCAAAATATATAAACATATTCACAAAACTCTCGCCGCCCATCCGGGATATTAGTTAGTAGTGACTACCGTACCGAAGTGCCAGGCTCGAATCCTGGAGAAGGCGTGGATGTTTGTAAATGTGTAGTATCCGTTCGGCATGGGGCACTCGAAGTATGCCGGCAGCCGAAAGTCCTCTCGAGAGGTTGGTGGTAGAGGAAGAGTGGTGGAAGACCCTCAGAGCTATCCCCCCGGGTCGGTCCTTTCCATCAAAACTGGAGGGTGGGGGAACTGAGCAAAGTCGTACTGTCACCTGTTTGGTGATCAAGGCTCTTGCCAACCATAGGTGCAATCTTGCACTCCTTGCCACAATGATGTTCGTGAGCTTTTTCTCATGTTACTGCCAGAGAAGTGACATAAGTCACAGCAACACTACCAACAACAAAGTAACTGTTTCCCTCATAAGGTGCAACAAAATCAAAGGGAATTTTAAAATATATTTACAATACTCTTAATAGGCAATTTAATAATTATATTAAACACACGTAGGTAGGTTTCTGCATCGGGTAGCTCAATCCGGTCATCGTAGGTGAATCTGGTAGCTGGATCTGGGTTCCAATCCCAGAGAATAGAGTTAGCAGCGTGAACATTTACACGATTTTCAGCATACATAACTTAGATAAAAGCCAGTTTTCTTTCGAAAGTCTTCCACGAAGGCATTCGCACCGTTAACTAGGTAGCCCTTGTGTGTTTTACCGTAATCAAACAAACAAAACAATTTATAGTAATAGGTAGTTCCGAAATCATAGACTGAATCATAGGGAATTATTTTCTGTTTAAAATATACCTTGAAGTATTTTCAAAGATTCCAGTTGTGATTTTGTTTCTTCGAAAATGACAAGCTTTCAGATGGGTGTCTCACATGTTTTTAAGGATATTATTTGTGGTTTAGTTTATATGTTTAACTCAAAATCTCATATTCCTCAATATCTAAGTTTTCTTTAATAAATTTATGTACGTTACGCATATGTTATTAATATCAAACATTTTCCTACTTTTGTGCTCTTAAGAATTAGAAATCTTTGAGATTTTCATTTAAATGCGTCCTATGGATGAAGTATGCAATTTTTTTTTTATGACGTGGATTACAGGTGTTTAGATTGCTAGTAGCCTTTTACAGGAATGGCAGAAAAGATGGAAAAGTGAAAGCACAGGGAGGAAAACCTAAAAGTTCTTTCCGAAAGTTACATGCTCAATTAATACATACAACGGAGCACAAACTCAATTCTACACTGGCCGTGGTCCCTTCCCACATTATCTTATGGCAGAACAGGGACACTACTGTGCTTCAACTGACACATATCGTCAACCAAGACTCTTCTCAACAAATTTCAGCTCGAACCACGCGCAGAGAATTTCAGATGATAGGAATGCATATTCAGGTGCCTGTGAGAAAATTATTCATTTCTGCCCGACAGGTGATAACACGTTTACCGTGGTGTAGTGGACATCTGATGATTGGAAATGAGTAATGTGGTCGGAAGAATCAGTCTTCATCTTCTTTTTCATTGATTAAAGACGTCAAATTTGGCAAGAACCCCATGAAACTATGAATCCATCTTGCCTTACTCGCCCTGTGCAAGGTTCTGGTGGAGGTATCATGATGTGAGGCATGTTCTGCTGGCATATAAATTGTACCCTACTGTTCCACGAGGGTAAACGGGGATGTTCTGCTGGCATGGAAATTGTGCCCTGGTGTTGTTCCTCGAGGG